ACACACACACACACACACACACACACACACACACACACACACACACACACACACACACACATCCTTACATTCTGAAACTCAGCGGGGATACAACACATGTTGTCTGAGCAACAAATGCAAAACTTTCTTTGATAAGTCCAACTTAAATTTTTGTTCTCAGATAACCAAAATACATCTGTATTACATCATTCAAATAAAAAKATACTAAATCAGAATACAAAGGACAACAGAGAATAAAATGGTATTAATCTAATTTAATCATTTGAGTATCAAGTTTAAAAGTTTTAAAGATTTAGTCTAAGAATATCAAAAAAACATATATTTCTTATGGTTATAGATGCCAAATGAAAAGCTTTAACCYACTAACTTAAAYGGGGACAATATTGGCACAGTGGATCAGAGCTGTTACTTCTCAGCAAGAAGGTTGGCGGGTTGAATCCTGGCCAGGGACCTTTCTGTGTAGAGTTTGTATGTTCTCTCTGTGCATGGATGGGTTTTCTCCAGGCACTCAGGTTAGACCAAAAACATGAATGTAAGGTAAATTGGTAACTCTAAATTGTCCATATAGGTGTAAGTGAGAGAGTGAATAGATGTTTGTTTTATAAGTGCCCCTGTGATGAAGTTGCAACATGTCCAGGGTGTACCCCACCCTCCACTGCTGGATATGGGCACCAGTGACCCTGAATAGAAGAAATGAGTTAAGATGATGGATGGATGGAATATCATACTGTGTGCACATACATGTGCAAAATAATAACTTGGCTACACCAGATGAAAAGAAAGCCAAGGATATTTCAGGAGCCTCATACAAAAGATATATAAAAATTTAAAACATCAAGGTCTAGAAAACAAACTGAAATTATTGTGACACCCTTATTTATTTATTATTTATATTATTATTTATGTTTATTATTCATATTATTTATTATTTGTATTATTTATTATTTATATTTGTACCCATGAGCTCGTTAAAACTGTAAATATCTACTTGTCATAATAAATTTGACAGCTTCTGACGGTGACACGTTGTTGTTGTAGTATCACATGTGTACCAGAAGGGGGCAGTGCAGTAAACAATAGACAGCTATTTAATGCTAAGTAGGACCTTCTTCTCTCTGTTCTTTAACTTTGAACTTTAAACAGGAACAATAACAGCAGACAGACACCGGCTTTTATACGAAGACAACACAAAGCCAGACTCACCGGTGGTTGGAAACATGGAGGAGTACAACTCTGGGGATGATGTAAAGTCATTTTTTTTACTATATGATATTAATGGAAAGCTCCGTAAAGCAGTGGTTTAATATCTCGTTGGGTCAGTTTGCGGTTAGCTTATCCTTTTAGCTGACCATTAGCTTTTAGCTTAGCCAGCTAGCTGGTCATTTCAACAGAGGGTGTGGTTCAGTCAACATTAGCATTAGCAGCAAATTGTGTTAACATTTAAATACATTTATGCCACTTATTGAGGCTATTACATAAACCGTTTAATTTTATTTATGCTTCATYATAATTAGTTGTAAAAATCAGAGGATTAATGTAAAATAACAATTTGCACGTTCGTTTTATCCTCTTAATGTAAATATCTAACAAATCACTTTAAAACAATATTTTTGAGCTAATTTTTATTAGTTAAGGTAGCAGTTGATATTTTTKTGAAAGCTGACAAAAGTCTTCAGTAATTTCAAATAGTACTACACAGCTTAAAAATGTTACTAAAATAMAGATGAGGAGTGTGTTTAAGAAATATAAAATCTTTCTAAATTGTAAATCTGTGTTTTAATGTGTTGTACACCTAATGATCCTGCAGGTCATCTTCAATACTGATGAGACAAGTAACTTAGTGAAAGAGGTAAGTTTTTTTATTCTTGGAAACATCGTAATTAATAAAAACAAACATTGTTCTGTTATCTGTGCTCTGTTTGCTTATCTTCCCTTAGTGTATTGAAGGAGTCATTGGTGGAACAGATTATAACCAGAATAAAGTCAACCAGTGGACGGCAACTATAGTGGAGCATATACTGAATCACCTGATCAAACAAGGACGGCCATTTAAATACATAGGTAACCCATCACTTGTCATATTTACACATTTACTCATTGTGCACATGGGTGTAGCTTATAACTAACAGCCCTCAAATACAAAGAAAAGTACAATATGTGTAAAACTGGTTTGTTGCAGTGAACTGTGCAATCATGCAGAAAAGTAGTGCAGGTCTCCACACAGCCAACTCCTGCTACTGGGACACTGCTACAGATGGTAAGAGACACGTTTATTTTTTTAATCATAGTCTTTTTTAAATAACAATATGCTTTGACCCAACTTGATTTCTGTTGCTGGTTAGGGGATACTCAACTGGGTAAAAGGTTGAGACCTTTAGTTCATTTATTTCAGACCAAAGAGGGTCTTTGGTCTAATATATTTGAATGTGTTGGCCCTTTTGAACAAAATGTCCTTAGGTTGCTTTATTTGTTAAAAGACGATTCCATCTCATCAATAAAGTAACAAAGTTATTTTTAGTGTTTTAATTGTTCAACTCAGCAGATGTTTTTAAGTTAATTAGTTGTTAAATTCCAGTTATTACCTGACTTTTATTCCAACTGGCTCCATAAATTGTAGAAATGTGGTGAGTTTCATGCAGAACCTGCTTTGATTTGTATGTTTCAGGAAGCTGRACAGTCCGGTGGGAGAACCGTACCATGTACTGTGTGGTCAGTGCGTTCGCCGTCGCTGTGGCGCTGTGATGATGAAGCTGAAGAGGTAGTCCCTCCCAATGCTGTCGGTTCTGAAGCTCTGCTTGAAATGACACCAGGAAGCATCAAAGATCCAGCCCTCGTGGTTATTATTCTTTTTCCTTTCAAGCAGAAACAACAGTTGTGTGCTGTTGTTGTGCCTGCGTATGTGTGGATTAAAGTTCATATTCAGTGGGTGGAGCCTAACATTAAAAAAATACTTTAATTAAATGGCACTTATAATTTGGTCCTAAAGCATTTCCATACAGTAAACGGTTTCAGGTTCAGGCAAGAATGCAAAGGTTTTGWTATTTCATCCGTCTAGTAGGATCCTCATATTTGTATGTGTAAGAGAACATATGTACTTATTTTGACTTGTAAATTATACTTCATTGAAAACCAAATACTTGCAACAATAACTGACATTCCTGTCTGTCTTAGTTGAACTTTATTTATATTTAGTAAAGACCTGAATGCAAAATATCTGCATGATTCTCTATAAAACATTCAACTCTAAGTACAAAAAAACTGACTGAGATATACTGTTAAGTGTTTTAGAAAAGGTTCCTTGTGTTTTAGTCAGTTTATATTATCGCTGTATAAATTAGATGATCTGTGTGGTTTGGTAAGTTTGTTCCTGCAAGTTTGGATGTCATTTCTAATCTGTTTAAGTTCTGTGAAATTGTTTAATCTTATTGAAAATATTTAATAAATAATTTTGTCGGTCATTAGTTTGCATTTAAATGTGTGTTTATCATAAAAAAAAATTCTAACGTGCAGTCTTGGTGATTGTCCACTAGAGGTCAGCACAAGCTAATACTATGTGAAAAAAACATTCAAACAATTTTCACATATAAATATATATTTATTTGGACTTTTCTGTAGAATTTTAGCTTTTAAAGACTTTAATTATTTTATAGTAATGCTCTTTATATTTCCATCTATCTTTTGGCATCAAATGTTGCTCATTTGTACAAACATTTGAAGCATTGGTGCAATTTCAGAAGACTAAGCTCCTTAGGAGAAACGTTGCAAAGAGTAGTGCAAAAAACAACCACATCTCTCTCTCTCTCTCTCTCTCTCTCTCTCTCTCTCTCTCTCTC